TTTACGCGGCGTGATGCAATGCAACGCAACGCGTAAAAAGACAGTATATGTCATTATAATCCGTAATTTTGTCCCCACTGGATGCAACAAATGCCTCGTTTGTAATGGGTTTTCATGTTTTTGTGTCGTTGCTCCGGCCGGACACGGCATCAACACAGTATGGTGAGGGGCGTAACATTTCCTTCACACACTTGAGGTATTCGGCCAATCATAACGCATTGGATAGCTGGCCAATCACAGCACACCTCGCTTTTCAGACCTATGAGCTTTGTAAAAATCAATGCGTTTCAGAAAGGCGGGGCATAGAGGAGAAACAATAATGTACAGTATGTGGAAAATAATGTGGTTTTTTTTAACCTTAAACCGCATAAACACATTTCATTACACCAAATACACAAAATAATGTTCTTTTTAGCAGCATCATATGACCCCTTTAAAGCAGTGCCTCCATGATACTTCCTGCTGTCAGAATCACATCAGTGTGTCAATAAATTCACACATATCTTATTGGCCCAATAGGAGGAGGCTGATATCAAGAAGGCTTATTCATAAGTAACATCGATAGTTCAATACACCTGTGGAAATGAAAAAGATTATGAGATAAAATTAGCTTCTGATGTGAAACGCTAGAAGTCCCCGTAATGTGGACACAGCACAACAGAGTTCATTTTCTTTGACATTTTGTCCGGTTTGTGTCTTTGAAAAGTCTTATTTCAGTCACATGCCAAATTTGTTCAAAGCTTGAGGAAAGATTCCTTAAGGATGACAAATAAAGTTGCATTTTGAGGAAAGAAATCTGTTTGTAGTGAATGTAAATGTGAATGTAAATCATGATGAGTAGGGACATTATCTGAGTCTGACTGGTGTGATTCTTTATTGTTAAATGCTAAGCAGATGTGTCTAGGCTTTGATTTCTATGTCCAGTTATTCTCATATGCTTTGGTGATGTGCTGATGGAACAACTGGTGGGTATTTTGTTTTTTGGCCTGATACAATCAACAATGTATTATAGAGATTTTGATCCCAAATGTTCTATT